GAATCGTAGTGCATGTATTAAATTGCAGTACATTTTAAAGTGGAGTGTCTATTAAGGAAAGATAAAAGAGCAAACTTTTGCTTCTGTGTTGGATCATTTTTGTGACATGAGCTGAACTGCATTGCTTTGAGCATACAGCGTTTCACTAGCAGAGGAAATGAAGGTGCTCTTTACAGCTCCAAATCCTCCCTTGACAAAACTGCAAGACTCCTCTCTATAAAAACAGCTATGTCAATAGAGAACAATAAGATCCTATTTGGCCAGCTGGTGGGAAAAAACAGGGTCGTCTGTGGTCCGGCTCCTAACCCAGAGCAAAAAACAGCCAACAAAAACCACATTCTAAGCTTTCTGAATATTTGTCTGTGAAACAGACATACTGGGCTGCAATGGTTAAATAAATGATGATAAATACAAAGGACAAAACGACAAGAAAGAAAGAAGAAGAATAACAGGAAACCTACAATTTCTCCAAGTGAAGCGGCCAGCATGTGAGTGATGGGGGCCAAGTTTGTAGCACTGTAGCCTGTGAATAACGACTTGGTGCTTTCATAGGTGACGAAGAATGTAGCAGCTGGAACCAAGAAGAAACACTTTATTTGAGGCAAACTTTTCAAATAGCATGCACTTTCTAAAATGTGTGTATTTATTTGTAGGCAAATTCTGAGAGCTAGTGATTCCAGCAATTCCGGTTTACATATGCTATTTATCATAATCAGAAGTCTATGCCGCATGCAGTTATAATAATCTTCTAAAGAGTTTAAAGTAAACTTTTAAACATGCAGCCATTTTTCATGTTTATAATAAGATATTTAAACTTAACTTACCATTGGGAAAGGAGCCTATAGCAGCTGACGGGACCCCTGCATAGATCCCTCTGAAACCTCCCGCCTTGTAGAAGCCCTGCTGGCTCTGCAACCTTGTCTTTATGGTGTCCAGAGGGAAGAGAGTGAGATCTACACACATTCCCGCACAACCGCCTGCCTAAGGGACGAAGAGCAATGCTACTGTTTTAATACATCATTATATATCAGTACAGTATAATAAGATGCTTTAATTCTGGTGCAATGCAATTCATCACTGTAGTCTCATATATCATTTTTACCACATAGTAATGCCACAATTGACCACAAATGACTCTTTAAAGAGCTTTAAGGAGAAGAAGAGTCAGCTTTTCTGTCCTGCTTAATATGGCTACTAAAAAAACATGAAGCGGAGATACAGAATACCACTTTTTATCTAATTCATTATTCATTATGATTGCCCCATTTTTCACCCACTGTGTTTTTAGAGCATTTCTGACTAACAATATGCAATACTGTACATATGGATCTGCAAACAAAACCCTTTTTCCAATACAATGCTAGAGAGTGAAAACTCTATGATTTCATTATTATTACTCTAGAAAAAAAAAGGTTGAAGTTAAGTCCTGTTTTGGTCCAGATCAAGTTGAAGCTGTCAATTACATAAAGCACTACTGACTGTATTATTATTATTATGAAGTGCTATAGTCCAACAAATTCATAATTAGGATGTAGAAACAAAGGGAAAGAAGAGTATTTTTCTCTAAAAATAATAAAAGTAAAAAAAAAAAACCGCAATTGTCCACCAAGGCAACGCAACTGCCTGGACTAAGAAATCATGAAATCATAAATAATAATAATTATTATAATTGATTAACTAATATTTGAGAAACAAGGGGAAAGAAGATGTTTTTTTATTTCTTTATAAACTACAAAGGTTAAAAAACTACAACAATGCAAAACAATAAACCTAAATAACAACAGCAACACTACTACTACTACTACTACTACTACTACTACTACTAACAACAACAACAACAACAACAACAACAACAACAACAACAACAACAACAACAACAACAACAACAACAACAACAACAACAACAACAACAACAACAACAACAACAACAACAACAACAACAACAACAACAACAACAACAACAACAACAACAACAACAACAACAACAACAACAACAACAACAACAACAACAACAACAACAACAACAACAACAACAACAACAACAACAACAACAACAACAACAACAACAACAACAACAACAACAACAACAACAACAACAACAACAACAACAACAACAACAACAACAACAACAACAACAACAACAACAACAACAACAACAACAACAACAACAACAACAACAACAACAACAACAACAACAACAACAACAACAACAACAACAACAACAACAACAACAACAACAACAACAACAACAACAACAACAACAACAACAACAACAACAACAACAACAACAACAACAACAACAACAACAACAACAACAACAACAACAACAACAACAACAACAACAACAACAACAACAACAACAACAACAACAACAACAACAACAACAACAACAACAACAACAACAACAACAACAACAACAACAACAACAACAACAACAACAACAACAACAACACACACTTAATTAACTAAAACCAGCTATAATCATAAGAAAATGCCATCAGATAAAAAAACGACTTTACTCACTCGTTGAGTGTGGTTTTCATCCTCCATGCTAAATCTCTTCGCTTGTGTGTGTTCGAAATCTCCCTTAGGTGGTGATAGCTGTTTTTAATGCCTGATCAAAGCAACACTACTACTACTACTACTACTACTACTACTACTACTAACAACAACAACAACAACAACAACATTACTACTACTACCAACAACAACAACACCACTACTACTACTAACAACAACAACAACAACACTAATACTACTACTGCTAACAACAACAACAACAACAACACTACTACTACTACTAACGACAACAACAACAACACTACTACTACTACTAACAACAACAACAACAACACTACTACTAACAACACTAATACTACTACTACTACTACCAACAACAACAACAACAACAACAACAACAACAACAACAACAACAACAACAACAACAACAACAACAACAACAACAACAACAACAACAACAACAACAACAACAACAACAACAACAACAACAACAACAACAACAACAACAACAACAACAACAACAACAACAACAACAACAACAACAACAACAACAACAACAACAACAACAACAACAACAACAACAACAACAACAACAACAACAACAACAACACTAATACTACTACTGCTAACAACAACAACACTACTACTACTAACAACAACACTAATACTACTACTACTAACAACAACAACAACAACAACACTACTAACAACAACAACACTACTACTATTAACAACAACACTAATACTACTACTACTAACAACAACACTACTACTACTACAACAACAACACTACTACTACTACTACTACTACTACTACTACTACTACAACAACAACAACAACAACAACAACAAACAACAATAAACTAGGTGTGGGTATTGTTTATTTGCTGATCACAGCAGACTTTTATGAAGGCTTTTATTTTCGTCATTACTTTAATATCAGTCATCTCCGTCATCATAACCATGATCAAAATTGCTTTAAAAAGGACTAGTCTGAGATGACTGAAACAAGAAAGCCTCAGATAGAGTGTACACTGACACATTAGCATGAAAACACTGTTACTATATTACATTATACTGTATTTATTTCATATACATAGTTAATGTCATGAGGAAGGATGCCCACGCTTTTGCTTTTAGCACGTGTAATAGACATAAAATGAGCATTACCACAAGGGAGGCTGTGAACTCTCGCCTGTCCATATTGTACGCGAGGACTTCGACACTAACTATCGCACGCTCATCACGGGTGCTGCCATGTTTAAGGCGGGCGCTTCCACTGACGTCACGTGACGACAACAACAGCGCTCTTCATTCTCAGCAGAACAGCAGAGGAATATCAATATATTTTCAACGTGTTTTTTTCCTTTTAACTATTTTTTAAATAAAACATTTTCTAATCTTACATCGCTATTTAATTGTGTACATGTATTATTATCATTATTATTTAAAAGCAAATGACAGCAACTTTGTGTTGGCTGCTCTTAGACACTTTAAGAGAGCGTAACTTTAATCTCCCTGTTCTGAGATTTGGGTTCTGGGTTTGAATTTAGAATGGTTTGATTTAGAATTAAATGCTCAAAATAAAATCCAGTATGGCATCATAATAGGTCCAGCAGGGGGAACTATTATTCCATCAAAGGTTCCAATTACACGAAGACAAAACAAGTAGTAAATTTATTGAAAATATATAAAATTTAAACAATAAAATGTTGTATACAGTACAATAGGATTTAATTGTGATGAAGTGAAATAAAATTTGCATTTTGTGTTCACGTGCAATTAGTGCCGTTTCAATTAAATAAGACTCACATTCGAAGATCATTTATTTATTTATTAGTTTAATTTGGTGTATTTTTTACACTACACTACAACATTTTACAACAATATTTTAGCTTATATGTGTACAATGAATGGGAATAGCGCAGAAATAAGTTAAATAACGCACATATTAAATAAATACAAATAATAGTATTATATAATGTTTGGTTGGGGCAAGTTCTCACATTTTATTGGGATTTGTGACATATAGCCTCTTTTAAATGTTATAGATTTACACTATTTTTGACCAAACAATGATCTGATAATTTAAAAAATAATGTCACATTATTATAGAAGCCCATTTCAGCCACATAAGAAAAAAAAACATATAAGTTACACTTATGACATAAGCCAAACTTTTCATATGCTATATTATAATTACGCCATAAAAAGTCATTGTGACAAAGAAAAATGGATTTCTTTATGTCATAATTATGGCTTTTATGTCATATTTATGATTTGCCAAAGCATGCTTTTTTATGTGGTGGACATGGGCTTACATATTTTTGTAGTCAATACTGTCGTGGTCAATAACAAAAGTATGTGTCTATACAAAAAAACGTGATTTAAAAATAGCCTAAAAGTGTGATAAACCAGTCTTCAGAAGAGACTCCACTTTTAGGGCGTGTCTTCTGGGGCCTGCGCGATGACGTCACCTGCGTGATAACATCGCTGGCTTTCACAGGGTTGTTTTGGAGGAAGTTAAAGCAGATCCCGAAACAGAAAGAGAGAGAAAAAGACCCGTCATTTAACAGGGGGGGGGCAATAACGACTGCAGCACCCGTATCGGTATCCCCGATTCCGGATTAGTTAACTCATACACTAGCCTAAGCGATCTAGTGTTCCGCTGGGGACAGGGGCTGAAGTTATTGTTTGTTTTCTTCTTAAACATCAGGCTTGTGTAAGGGCACGGTAGCAATTTAGCTCACAGGCTACACCACAGCACTAATACAGACTGATATTTACTAGATCTCCAGCTTTATAAACCAGGTGAGTTGTAAAAATCAATATGTATGCTTGTACATGTTCAGTCCAGAGACTGGTCGTGGATTTGTTAAGAGAGATGTTGTAATTGACATGAAAGCTAACTGACGTTAGCAAACGAGTTCATTTGTTATGCTGTTAAAGGACATTGAGATTATTTAATAGTCGTTTATCTGTGTATAAGCTTCCTTCCTGGTTAAAATCAGTCATTTGCACGTTGTGATGTTGATCTATCTCTATTCAGGCCCTGAATAATCAGGTGTTTCTAGTTACACTGACAGTCGCGCTGGATTGTGTCGTTTTACATTTGCATTTAATTCAAAATGCACCACTTTTTCCTCAGATCGTTGTCTTGAGCTAATATACATAAGAAGACATTTTTATTCAATGCCTCTAACACAATAACAATCGATCAGATATGGATTTTACAGCGCTGTCTTGCTTTTATAATTGCACAACCAGCAGCCGCATCAAATACAGTCACTTTCTGCTTGTATGTTTACAGCACACTGAAACAGGTGTGGAGTATTGCGAAACAAAGCGTTTTAAATAAACAACCATTTACTATAAGGCTAAAGCCTCCCATTACACTATAACGCCTTTATAGTTCAAAAGCAGCGTCAATATAAGACGCGCATGATATGTCAGTATGAGTACGCACTTGATTATTTGTTGCGGTGTGCTGTTGAAATGGATGGCATTCTGCTTTTCTCATGCATGCTAAAGGAAAGTGCTCTACCATGTGATCCGACTTTACCGAGTGTCATGGGTTCCAGATTAAATATGGAGTCGTTAAACTGTTGGCAGTCGTAGGCTGTCTCTCAAAATCTAGCAAGCTGCCTATCTAAACAGTTCAGAATAGTGTACTTCTCGTACTATACAATATATGCAGTACATAGTATGTAATCTGCACACATTATGCACATTATGGTTTTACACAGAAGTCAAAACAGGGAGCTTTTGTTGGTCGTTATGGCAAATTTGCATGACCTTGTGAACCATACAAAATCTGCATAGGAAACTTCCCAATTACATGTATTCTTATTAAAATGACTGGATTTCATCAGCGAAAATTAGCCAAACTATGGTAAATGTAACCACACTGCACTGTAAATGCTCTAGCATGAAAGTTTTGCCTTTTTTTTGGTTAGTTTGTACTTTGAATTATTTTTGCAGTTGCTGTTACTATGTCGTAGGAACTAGAGCCCGACCGATATGGGTTTTTTGGGGCCGATACCGATATTAGGGAGTAAAAAAAAAAAGGCCGACATTGATATATCGGCCGATATTCTTTGTGTATATTATAGTACAGTACCAGTCAAAAGTTTGAACACTTTCCCATTTGTGTGTCCTCACATTTGACTGGTACTATATATAGAATACAGTATATACATAAACAGAATATATATACATAAACACATTTTTTGCAATGATCACTCAAATGTGGTGATCAAACACTTATA